TGCTTTTAGTAGTCTTTTTCTTCTTCTTATTTATATATATATATATATATCTCAATTGTAAATGGGGGGGAAAATACATTTGTTTAAAAAAATAATTTATTGTTTATGTACAGGAAAAAATAGAAAACCAAAATGAATAGAAAAGGCAAATTGTACAATAAACAGTATCTACAGTGCTATGAAAAAGTATTTGGCCCCTTTCTAATTTTCTCTACTTTTGCATATTTGTGATACTGAATGTTATCAGATCTTCAACCAAAACCTAATATTAGATAAAGGGAACATAAGTGAACAAATAACAACAATTACATATTTATTTAATAAACAAAGTTATGCAACACCCAATTCCCCTGTGTGAAAAAGTAATTGCCCCCTTACACTCTAACTGGTTGTGCCACCTTTAGCTGCAATGACTCCAACCAAATGCTTCCTGTAGTTGTTGATCAGTGTCTCTCGTCACTGTGGAGGAATTTTGGCCCACTCTTCCATGCAGAACTGCTTTAACTCAGTGACGTGTGGGTTTTCAAGCATGAACTGCTCGTTTCAAGTCCTGCCACAACATCTCAATTGGGATTAGGTCTGGACTTTGACTAGGCCATTCCAAAACTTCCAATTTGTTGCTTATTAGCAATTTTCATGTAGACTTGATCGTGTGTTTTGGATCATTGTCTTGCTGCATGACCCAGCTGCGCTTCAGCTTCAGCTCACAGACGGATGGTCTGACATTCTCCTGTAGAATTCTCTGATACAGAGCAGAATTCATGGTTCCTTCTATTAAGGCAAGTCGTCCATGTCCTGAGGCAGCAAAGTATCCCCAAACCATCACACCACCACCACCATGCTTGACCTTTGGTATTTTACATTTACATCATTTAGCAGACGCTCTTATCCAGAGCGACTTACAAATGATGATGTTCTTACTGTGGAATGCAGTGTTTGGTTTTCGCCAGGCATAATGGGACCCATCTCGTCCAAAAAGTTGACTGAAGTTTGCCAAAAAGCACCTGGACGATCATCAAGACTCTTGGAAGAACGTTGTATGGACAGATGATTCAAAAGTATAACTTTTTAGATGACATGGTTCCAGTAATGCCTGGCGAAAACCAAACTCTGCATTCCACAGTAAGAACATCATACCAAAGGTCAAGCATGGTGGTGGTGTGATGGTTTGGGGATGCTTTGCTGCCTCAGGACCTGGACGACTTGCCTTAATAGAAGGAACCATGAATTCTGCTCTGTATCAGAGATTTCTACAGGAGAATGTCAGACCATCCGTCTGTGAGCTGAAGCTGAAGCGCAGCTGGGTCGTGCAGCAAGACAACGATCCAAAACACACAATCAAGTCTACATGAAAATTGCTAATAAGCAACAAATTGGAAGTTTTGGAATGGCCTAGTCAAAGTCCAGACCTAATCCCAATTGAGATGTTGTGGCAGGACTTGAAACGAGCAGTTCATGCTTGAAAACCCACACGTCACTGAGTTAAAGCAGTTCTGCATGTAAGAGTGGGCCAAAATTCCTCCACAGCGACGAGAGAGACTGATCAACAACTACAGGAAGCATTTGGTTGGAGTCATTGCAGCTAAAGGTGGCACAACCAGTTATTGAGTGTAAGAGGGCAATTACTTTTTCACACAGGGGAATTGGGTGTTGCATAACTTTGTTAATGAAATAAATATGTAATTGTTGTGTTATTTGTTCACTTATGTTCCCTTTATCTAATATTAGGTTTTGGTTGAAGATCTGATAACATTCAGTATCACAAATATGCAAAAGTAGAGAAAATTAGAAAGGGGGCAAATACTTTTTCATAGCACCGTACACTGCACTGAAGATGTCCACCTATCTTGACCCAGGGAATGTTACTGCGTCATAGATATGCAATACTTTACTGTACACTACGAAGGAAAACAAAGATGTTCTTATGTCCTTCATACAGATTTTGTATGAAAAGAGTACCACTGTTGTCATGTCTGACATTGTGCTTTTCCCAACAGCAGAGACAGACACGCACGAAACAATAGGCTTCTCATCAGATCAGAAGGAAACATGAAACGTGTATAATCATAATATCCATTTCTATATGATATAGACTGTCTTAAGTACTAACTGAAAGATTTGTTGGAGCATCAATGGTTTGATCTTTCATCAGAGGGGTGTGGAGGGGTTCATCGTACCTCTGCATATACAAGCACTCACGTCACGTTGTCCCCACAACACACTGACCCAAGGCCTCAGAACATGTCTCTGGTTAGCCAAGACCCTTATTACGTTAGATACACTTTACAGCTGGGGTTTGTTGTGGGCTTGAGAGCAGACAGTAAGCTACTGCATATACTGTACTGACAGCAGAGGAGAGACAGAATAGAAGCACATCTATGCTGTGTAGTTAACTGGAGTCCCAGGTCTGTTTGTACGGTCTCGCCAACTCCATAGCAAACGTGACAATGACAGAAATGGATTTTGGTAAGACGGCACCAACCGGTCTGGGACTCAGGCTAGTGTACAATCACGGCCAAAGAGGTTCTCATAAACAATGCTGCAGAACGATAGAATCGGAATAGAGGCAAAAATATTGTTTAAAATACAAACTACAAACACAGTGAGCCGCAGCAAAATAATGTTTAAAGTACAACCGTTTTGGTTGGTGTGAGTGTCAGTAAAAATGTGGCGCAGAATGTAGATGAAGGTAACAAAAAAAAAAAATATTTTAAAAAAGGATACTCAAAAATAAAACTGAAACAAAGCAACATTTCAGAATTGCACAGTTTAATAGTGATGTACTGTAAGTCAGTGGGTACCATTGATGTACTGAACCTAGATAATATAAATATAAGAAATACACACAGTAAAGAAAACATCTGCTGTGTGTTCACAGAGCCCTAACAATTGTCTGGAGAAACAGCTGATCTAGGACCAGTATTGCCATTTAGAGCTCAATGAATAAAGATTATATGGAGACATGGGGCCTGTTCCTAGATCAGCATTTCTCCTCAGATGCTTTGTGGATACAAGCCAGAGTTCTGAAGGCTGTCAGAGGGGGAAACAGCTCCACTGGCCGCCCCACCACCGTTGTTGTTGCTGAGCTGTGGAGTGTCGTGCAGCATGGTGAAAACAATGCAGTACATATTAAGCTCTTCTGTCGTGCGTACAATTTGTTGTTGTAATATCACAAATGGATGTGGCTGTTTCACCATTGATTCCCGTTTTGAGGGTAAGAGCTCTAATGCTGGTCAGGCGGAGGGATATCGACCTGGGCGCTGGGCCTGAGAGAGCTCTATGCTGGTCAGGCGGAGGGATATCGACCTGGGCGCTGGGCCTGAGAGAGCTCTATGCTGGTCAGGCGGAGGGATATCGACCTGGGCGCTGGGCCTGAGAGAGCTCTATGCTGGTCAGGCGGAGGGATATCGACCTGGGCGCTGGGCCTGAGAGAGCTCTATGCTGGTCAGGCGGAGGGATATCGACCTTGGCGATGGGCCTGAGAGAGCTCTATGCTGGTCAGGCGGAGGGATTTCGACCTGGGCGATGGGCCTGAGAGAGCTCTATGCTGGTCAGGCAGAGGGATATTGACCTGGGCGATGGGCCTGAGAGAGCTCTATGCTGGTCAGGCGGAGGGATTTCGACCTGGGCGCTGGGCCTGAGAGAGCTCTATGCTGGTCAGGCGGAGGGATATCGACCTTGGCGATGGGCCTGAGAGAGCTCTATGCTGGTCAGGCGGAGGGATTTCGACCTGGGCGATGGGCCTGAGAGAGCTCTATGCTGGTCAGGCGGAGGGATTTCGACCTGGGCGCTGGGCCTGAGAGAGCTCTATGCTGGTCAGGCGGAGGGATTTCGACCTGGGCGCTGGGCCTGAGAGAGCTCTATGCTGGTCAGGCGGAGGGATTTCGACCTGGGCGCTGGGCCTGAGAGAGCTCTATGCTGGTCAGGCGGAGGCAAATAGTTCTTGATTAGTTGCTTTGAATGAATAATGAAGGCTAACATTTTTCCATTAGCAATAACACCACAACCAATAAATAAATATAATAATACTGACCATCATAAAAGATTGATTCCATGTGAGGATACTGTACTTAGTCAACAAAATAAATAATAAACCGATGCAATAGCACTTAGTCTTTACCGTTCCACATCATACCCATAGGAGCTGCTTCTGTGAGGAGCGCCAGTGTTGGAGATATTCTCAGTCATCGTTATCAGTTTTAAAGTATCAAGGTTTTGGTATGTTACTGCCATGTTACCACGGTGATAACAACCAAGACCTTATAGACCTAAATTCTTATAGAAACAATGGACACATTCAGTCTGAATACATTAAATAGTATAGGACCTATTCAACTCCACAGCCATTGCTAAGGCAACACCAAGATCCCTGATAGGAGATAGACAGAATCCTACTTTTAGAAAACGATACTGAAATGTGACATTGAGTTAACGCCAAAGTGTGCGTCAGTTGATGTTTAATCTATTTATTAAAAAGGGGCCAAATAAAAATGATCTCTGGCATGGCATAATATGCTATCAATACAAAGTGAATTATGAATATAGTTTCTCTGATTCGTCTCCGTTTGGATCCTCCAGCATGACGGAAGCCAACTGAACAGTAATGCTTCAATTCTAGAGCCAATCCTAAAGCATGTGTGTAAAGATGCAGGTCAGGATCGCCATAATACTGTGGTTTGTCCTCAGAGATCGTTAGATTCTCCCTTCAGGAGTCAGTCATGGTTTGGTTGAGGCCTGGTTAGGCCCTCGTCAACAACATTCACCTCCAATTCAGGTCATCATGCGCACGAACGCACAACAGGTCTTCTCTCTCGACCCACAGAATTGTCACACCACAGTCTTTAATATCGTAGTAAGGGGACTGACATCTCCTGAAGTAATGTTGTAGAAGAATATCATCACATTATTGACCAAGGCATCAGCAAATATCTTTACATCCACTGTACAGTAGGAGCTATACAACATGACAACCCTCCACACACACACTTCAGTGCATCTCATAAAAATGTTCGGAACTTGTCCAGCACACACAGTTGACCATGGTTGGTTCCTTGCCAAAAGTTATATCTGATCTCCTCCACAACAAAGGACAATAGACCGTTGCACAAACTGTGACAAAAATATACAGGTTGAATTTTCTGTAATGTGGAAGGAGCGCCAATAAAGCTTCATATGTGACAGTGGTGTAAAGTACTTTACCATTTATAAAAAAAAAAGTGCTGTCTGGTTTGCGTAATATAATGTGAAATGATTTATACTTTTACTTTTGATACTTAAGTATATTTGTGCAATAAAATTTACTTTTGATACTTAAGTAAATTTAAAACCAAATACTTTTAGACTTTTACTCAAGTAGTATTTTACTGGGTGACTTTCACTTGAGTAATTTTCTATTACGGTATCTTTACTTTTACTCAAGTATGACAATTGGGTCCTTGTTCCACCACTGATGTGTGACATGTCTAACTGATAATATCCCAGATGCTTTTTATCGCTCTCCGCCCAGCACGTCGTCACAGCGATCTGACATTTCTATCTAGACAGACACTATAGCCCAGACCAGCACGATCCAGACTGCAACACAGACAGGGTTTCTCTGATCTGAACATTTTGGTAAAAAGCTAACTTGCAACACAAACTGCCTGCTTTGTGGTTGAACACTTAATCCCGGAATAAAGCCTGACTAGCCCAAACTCAGTCTGGTAAACCCTGGTCTGTGATCAAATTCCTTTTTTTGTATCTATATTTTAGGTAAGCATTTGTTTTTGTGTTATGAATTGGCTGTGTCCTGACTAACATTGTCTGCAGTGACTCAAGTCCATAATCAACTGGACAATACTGACACTCTTAACCACAGGAGCCCACTCACTCACAGACAGACAGACTGACCGACCCTGCTCCAGCACTGGGATGGACGAGTATCCGGACAGGAGAGAAGAAAGTCGAGAATGTTCTCTTGCGTTTGAGTCTTCCAACTGTTACACACCCAGTGTAGTAATACACACAAAACCATGACACAAACAAGCACACACACAGTCTCATACACACACACACACGCACATTCAGTCTCATACACACACACTCAGTCTCATACACACACATTCAGTTTCATACACACACACTCATGGTCAACACAACATATCAGAGTCCACGTCAGCCAACAAACGGGTTCGACACACAATGCAGTGTTTAATCTTTGAGGCTTCCAGTGCAGCTTTCCTCCTCCTCCTCTTCCTCATCCTCATCCTGTGTCCCATCACACACCCGCCCAGCAAGGTCAGAGGTCAGAAAAAGTCTGTATTCATCAGGGCTTACTGTAGCAAAAAAGTTTAAGTCCATGTAGTCAGTCCCTCCCTGTTTCAGTCCATTTTCTTCCGTTTGGTGCCTAATGAACACGACCCAGGTCAGGACAGGGCATGTCAGGACAAAGTGCAGTCATACGCCCCCTCATCCACCGCCTGCTCCTCCTGCTCCTCTGGAGCTCCTCCGTCCTCGGTCCCTAACCCCCCAGGGGGCTCCAGAGGAAGGGCCAGACCTAGGGGAGCAGGCCCCCTACTGTCTTCTACCCTGGGGTCTCCGGGCTGGGGCTCAGCCAGCTTGGAGTTGGGGTTGGAAGCCCCTGGCAGGAAGGCTTCAGGCTGGATCTGATCTACAGAAGTCTCTATGAGCTTCTGCAGCTGGGGCCGGATCATGTTCAGGAAGGGCTTATAGCCCAGGCTACAGGGAGTGGAGAGGGGAGGAGGAGTCAGTATCCAGATCACAACATTCATGACCTTCACTGTGCCTTTGCCATAGCTGCTATAGAACATGTAACATCCTTTACACCACAGTTCCACTAGTGGTCTGGATGAATACAAATATTATTAACTATTATTTTAGGGGGTAGATCAGCTTTATTATTGCAGCTAGACACATACACACACAGTGCCTTCGGAAAGTAGTTTTAGACCCCTTGACTTTTTCCACAGTGTTACATTACAGCCTTTTTCTAAAATTGATTTTAAAAATATTATCCTCAGCAATCTACACACAATACCCCATAACGACAAAGCAAAAACAGGTTTTAGAAATGTTGGCAAATTTATAAAAAAATAAAAAACAGAAATACCTAATTTACATAAGTATTCAGACCCTTTGCTATGAGACTCAAAATTGAGCTCAGGTGCATCCTGTTTACATTGATAATCCTTGAGATGTTATTACAACTTGGAGTCCACCTGTGGTAAATTCAATTGATTGGACATGATTTGGAAAGGCATACGCTTGTCTATATAAGGTCCCACAGTTGACAATGCATGTCAGAGCAAAAACCAAGATGAGGTCGAAGGAATTGACTGTAGAGGTCCGAGACAGGATTGTGTCGAGGCACAGATCTGGGGAAGGGTACCAAAAAATGTCTGCAGCATTGAAGGTCCCCAAGAACACAGTGGCCTCCATCATTCTTAAATGGAAGAAGTTTGGAACCACCCAGACTCTTTCTAGAGCTGGCCGCCCGGCCAAACTGAGCAACCAGGGGAGAAGGGCCTTTGTCAGGGAGGTGACAAAGAACCCAATGCTCACTCTGACAGAGCTCCAGAGTTCCTCTGTGGAGATGGGAGAACCTTCCAGTAGGACAACCATCTCTGCAGCACTCCACCAATCAGGCCTTTATGGTAGAGTGGCCAGACGGAAGTCACTCCTCAGTAAAAGGCACATGACAGCCCGCTTGGAGTTTGCCAAAAGGCACCTTAAGACTCTCAGACCATGAGAAACAAGATTCTCTGGTCTGTTGAAACCAAGATTGAACTCTTTGGCCTGAATGCCAAGCGTCACGGCTGGAGGAAACCTGGCACCATCCCTTCGGTGAAGCATGGTGGTGGCAGCATCATGCTGTGGGGAGGTTTTTCAGCGGCAGGGACTGGGAGACTAGTCAGGATCGAGGCAAAGATGAACGGAGCAAAGTACAGAGAGATCCTTGATGAAAACCTGCTCCAGAGCACTCAGGACCTCAGACTGGGGCGAAGGTTCACTTTCCAACAGGACAACGACCCTAAGCACACAGCCAAGACAACGCAGGAGTGGCTTCGGGACAAGTCTCTGAATGTCCTTGAGTGGCCCAGCCAGAGCCTGGACTTGAACCTGATCGAACATCTCTGGAGAGACCTGACAATAGCTGTGAAGCAATGCTCCCCATCCAACCTGACAGACCTGGAGAGGCACTGCAGAGAAGAATGGGAGAAACTCCCCAAATACAGATGTGCCAAGCTTGTAGCGTCATTACCAAGAAGACTCGATGCTGTAATCGCTGCCAAAGGTGCTTCAACAAAGTACTGATTAAAGGGTCTGAATACTTACAGTACCAGTCAAAAGTTTGGACACACCTACTCATTCAAGGGTTTTTCTTTATTTTTACTATTTTCCACACTGTAGAATAATAGTGAAGACATCGAAACTATGAAATAACACATATGGAATCACGTAGTAACCAAAAAAAGTGTTAAACAAATCAAAATATATTTTATATTTGAGATTATTCAATGTAGTCACCCTTTGCACACTCTTGGCAGTCTCTCAACCAGCTTCATGAGGAATGCTTTTCCAACAGTCTTGAAGGAGTTCCCACATATGCTGAGCACTTGTTGGCTGCTTTTCCTTCACTCTGCGGTCCAACTCATCCCAAACCATCTCAATTGGGTTGAGGTCGGGTGATTGTGGAGGCCAGGTCATCTGATGCAGCACTCCATCACTCTCCTTCTTGGTAAAATAGCCCTTACACAGCCTGGAAGTGTGTTTTTTGGGTCATTGTCCTGTTGAAAAACAAATGATAGTCCCACTAAGCCCAAACCAGATGGGATGGCGTATCGCTGCAGAATGCTGTGGTAGCCATGCTGGTTAAGTGCGCCTTGAATTCTAAATAAATCACTGGCAGTGTCACCAGCAAAGCACCCCCACACCATCACACCTCCTCCTCCATGCGTCACGGTGGGAACCACACATGCGGAGATCATCCTCTGCAGCAGCGGTATCTCTGGGTCTTCCATTCCTGTGGTGGTCCTCATGAGAGCCAGTTTCATCATAGCGCTTGATGGTTTTTGCGACTGCACTTGAAGAAACTTTCAAAGTTCTTGAAATGTACCGTATTGACTGACCTTCATGTCTTAAAGTAATGATGGACTGTCATTTCTCTTTGCTTATTTGAGCTGTTCTTGCCATAATATGGACTTTGGTCTTTTACCAAATAGGGCTATCTTCTGTATACCTTGTCATAACACAACTGATTGGCTCAAACGCATTAAGAAGGAAATAAATTCCACAAATGAACTTTTAAGAAGGCACACCTGTTAATTGAAATGCATTCCAGGTGACTACCTCATGAAGCTGCTTGGGAGAATGCCAAGAGTGTGCAAAGCTGTCATCAAGGCAAAGGGTGGCTACTTTGAAGAATCTCAAATATATTTTGATTTGTTTAACACTTTTTTGGTTACTACATGATTCCATATGTGTTATTTCATAGTTTTGATGTCTTCACTATTATTCTACAATGTAGAAAATAGTAAAAATAAAGAAAAACCCTGGAATGAGTAGGTGTGTCCAAACTTTTGACTGGTACAGTACATAAATAAATAAAAAACATATATTTTTAAATATATTTTCCTTTATTCTTTTCCCCTAACCCTACCACCCCTCCCTTAATTGGAGTAAACTAATGGACAACAACACTTCGTATGTACAAACTGGAAGTAGAAGCCTATCTAAATTGTACGGACACAGTGTATTTTCAAGTAGTTATCTTTTGTTTGTTTTTAGTCCCATCCTTCAGCTACCCTCAACCCCTCCCATCTATCTCTGAAGACCATCCAGTTTTGATTTCTATTTGCCATATATATTTTGACTGTGCAGTTTCACAAAAGTTCTGAACCTATAAACACTTGACAATGCGGTGAAAATGTTAGAATAAACAGAGCACTGTACACAGAAAGTTATTCTGGTTGGACTTTGATTTTACAATTTGTGCAGAGGGAGAGAAAGAAGGAGAGAGTGACAGAGACACTGACCAGTCTGTGGAGGCCCATGCGTCGACCCCCAGCAGGCCGGAACGGACACTTTGGACTGTCTCAGGAGGAACCTCTGGGCTGTCCAGGAAGTTGACCACCTGCATGATGACTGTGGCCTCTCTCAGGATCAGACCAATCATAACGCACCACTCCAGACAGCCCGCCTCCATGAACACATGCAGCAGGTACCTGAGGACAGAGAGATAAGCTATGAGGCATGATACATAAGGGACTGCTTTCCCACACACAGAGTAAGCCTAGTCCTACACTAAGAAGCATGATCAATGGAGATTCTCCATTTAGTCCATCTGAGTCCAGGATAGGCTTAATCTGTGTCCAGGGAACCTACCTAAGGATACACAAGCAAAGGCTGACAAATCACAAGATATACACAAACCTACATATGAAACCAACACACAGACACAAACTAATAGGTCACCGCAGCCATACGTCTAGCTAGGTTGGGATGGGAAGTGGGGTGGAGGAGTATTAGTAGCACCTAATAGCAGTGGTGGAAAAAGTCCTCGATTGTCATGCTTGAGTAAAAGATACCTTCTTAGAAATTGACTCAAGTACACTGCTCAAAAAAATAAAGGGAACACTAAAATAACACATCCTAGATCTGAATGAATGAAATAATCTTATTAAATACTTTTTTCTTTACATAGTTGAATGTGCTGACAACAAAATCACACAAAAATGATCAATGGAAATCAAATTTATCAACCCATGGAGGTCTGGACTTGGAGTCACCCTCAAAATTAAAGTGGAAAACCACACTACAGGCTGATCCAACTTTGATGTAATGTCCTTAAAACAAGTCAAAATGAGGCTCAGTAGTGTGTGTGGCCTCCACGTGCCTGTATGACCTCCCTACAACGCCTGGGCATGCTCCTGATGAGGTGGCGGATGGTCTCCTGAGGGATCTCCTCCCAGACCTGGACTAAAGCATCCGCCAACTCCGTCTGTGGTGCAACGTGGCGTTGGTGGATGGAGCGAGACATGATGTCCCAGATGTGCTCAATTGGATTCAGGTCTGGGGAATGGGCGGGCCAGTCCATAGCATCAATGCCTTCCTCTTGCAGGAACTGCTGACACACTCCAGCCACATGAGGTCTAGCATTGTCTTGCATTAGGAGGAACCCAGGGCCAACCGCACCAGCATATGGTCTCACAAGGGGTCTGAGGATCTCATCTCGGTACCTAATGGCAGTCAGGCTACCTCTGGCGAGCACATGGAGGGCTGTGCGGCCCCCCAAAGAAATGCCACCCCACACCATGACTGACCCACCGCCAAACCGGTCATGCTGGAGGATGTTGCAGGCAGCAGAACGTTCTCCACGGCGTCTCCAGACTCTGTCACGTCTGTCACATGTGCTCAGTGTGAACCTGCTTTCATCTGTGAAGAGCACAGGGCGCCAGTGGCGAATTTGCCAATCTTGGTGTTCTCTGGCAAATGCCAAATGTCCTGCACGGTGTTGGGCTGTAAGCACAACCCCCACCTGTGGACGTCGGGCCCTCATACCACCCTCATGGAGTCTATTTCTGACCGTTTGAGCAGACACATGCACATTTGTGGCCTGCTGGAGGTCATTTTGCAGGGCTCTGGCAGTGCTCCTCCTGCTCCTCCTTGCACAAAGGCAGAGGTAGCAGTCCTGATGCTGGGTTGTTGCCCTCCTACGGCCTCCTCCACGTCTCCTGATGTACTGGCCTGTCTCCTGGTAGCGCCTCCATGCTCTGGACACTACGCTGACAGACACAGCAAATCTTCTTGCCACAGCTCGCATTGATGTGCCATCCTGGATGAGCTGCACTACCTGAGCCACTTGTGTGGGTTGTAGACTCCGTCTCATGCTACCACTAGAGTGAAAGCACCGCCAGCATTCAAAAGTGACCAAAACATCAGCCAGGAAGCATAGGAACTGAGAAGTGGTCTGTGGTCACCACCTGCAAAACCAGTCCTTTATTGGGGGTGTCTTGCTAATTGCCTATAATTTCCACCTGTTGTCTATTCCATTTGCACAACAGCATGTGACATTTATTGTCAATCAGTGTTGCTTCCTAAGTGGACAGTTTGATTTCACAGAAGTGTGATTGACTTGGAGTTACATTGTGTTGTTTAAGTGTTCCCTTTATTTTTTTTTTAGCAGTGTAAAAGTGAAAGTCATCCAGTAAAACACTGCTTGAGTAAAAGTCTAAAAGTATTTGGTCTTAAACTTAAGTATCAAAAGTAAATGTAATTGCTAAAATATACTTAAGTATCAAAACGTAAAAATCTTTTCAAATTCCTTATATTAAGCAAACCAGACGGCACAATTTTCTTTATTTTAAAAATTTACGGATAGCCAGGGGCACACTCCGACACAGACATATTTGACAAACAAAGCGTTTGTGTTTAGTGAGTCCACCAGATCAGAGGCAGTAGGGATGACCAAGGATGTTCTCTTGATTAGTGCGTGAATTTGACAATTTTCCTGTCCTGCTAAGCATTAAAAATGTAACAAGTATTTTTGGGTATCAGGGAAAATGTATGGAGTAAAAAAGTACATTATTTTCTTTAGGAATGTAGTGAAGTAAAAGTTGTAAAAAATATATACATTTACATTTTAGTCATTTAGCAGACGCTCTTACAGGAGCAATTAGGGTTAAGTGCCTTGCTCAAGGGCACAGACAGATTTTTCACCTAGTCAGCTCGGGGATTAGAACCAGCGACCTTTCGGTTACTGGCACAACGCTCTTAACCACTAAGCTACCTGCCTATAAATAGTAAAGTACAGGGCCTGGTTGCATAAAACACCTTAAGTTAATTTTCCCCATATCTTTTCCCTTAAAGTTTTCTTAAATTTAATCAGTTGCACAAAACATTTTAAGGCGAATTTCCCCCTTAAATTAAGTGAAAAAGTTAAGGGTACCCATGAGGTCCCTTACGTGCTTCATTCAGTATGGATATCAATGGAAACAGCATGTGTGGAGGTGAATGTTGCTTTCCTCTGCCCTGGTTAAAAAAAGAAAACATCCACCAGCTAGCTATGTAGTTAAACCATATAAAGTGCACAATCCATGGCTACAAGGCTAGCTGGCTAGCTGGCTACCTACTCTGTAAGTTAGCTGGACGTGCTAGAAAGTAATAGACACAAGTTGAGAAAAAAGTAACTACAAGAAACGTGTATTATCTTCTGAATCAACGTTACTCCTGTCTTGAATGTAGAAGTTCTATTATGCGATCTCCCAAAATGTTTTTAGTCCCATCCTTCAGCTACCCTCAACCCCTCCCATCTATCTCTGAAGACCATCCAGTTTTGATAAATGTGATCTCTTTGATGAGATGTTCAGTCAGTGAATCAGGTTGTCTCCGTGGTAATTGGAGACTCTTTCTGCTGTACATGCCTTCAAACTACCATAAAACCCTTAAATGATGCTCTTACCTAAGGAAATGTTTGAGGGGCTCTATGCAACACCCTTAAACAATTCCCTTAGGTAAGAGGAAATTATTCCTTAAGGTAAACCCTTAAGGGAAAACACTTAAGCTGTTTTATGCAAATAGACCCTGCTCTGATTGGGACGTCAAATAGAACTAGAAATCCTGTCTACTGATATATTTCCTATGAGTGGGAGGACAGGCTTACCGTAGCTGGACCTGGGACTTGTGTGGTCCCTTGTTTGCCAGCTCCATGGAGAAGTGTTCCAGCTCAGAGTGGGTCAGACTGAGTGTAGAGAAGTTCTCATCCACCATGGTCCAATCTCCATCCACCATGCTGCTGGTCTCTGTCAGGTCTGTGGCAGAACCGATACTGCACTCCTCCACTTGAGAGAGAGAGAGAGAGAGGTAGAGGTAGAACGATCGAGAGGTTGAGGTAGAGCGATAGAGAAGAGATAGAGATATAGAGAAGCGGTAGAGCGATAGAAGCGGTAGAGCGATAGAGAAGCGGTAGAGCGATAGAGCAGCGGTAGAGCGATTGAGGTAGAGAGAGCGGTAGAGCGATAGAGCGATAGAGAAGCGGTAGAGCGATAGAGGTAGAGAGAGCGGTAGAGAAGCGGTAGAGCGATAGAGAAGCGGTAGAGCGATAGAGAAGCGGTAGAGCGATAGAGAAGCGGTAGAGCGATAGAGAAGCGGTAGAGCGATAGAGAAGCGGTAGAGCGATAGAGGTAGAGAGAGCGGTAGAGAAGCGGTAGAGCGATAGAGAAGCGGTAGAGCGATAGAGAAGCGGTAGAGCGATAGAGAAGCGGTAGAGCGATAGAGAAGCGGTAGAGCGATAGAGAAGCGGTAGAGCAATAGAGAAGCGGTAGAGCGATAGAGAAGCGGTAGAGCGATAGAGGTAGAGAGAGCGGTAGAGAAGCGGTAGAGCGATAGAGGTAGAGAGAGAGGTAGATGTAGTGATAGAGGTAGAGAGAGGTAGAGTGAGAGGTAGAGAGTGAGAGGTAGAGGTAGAGAGAGGTAGAGCGAGAGAGGTAGAGCGAGAGCGAGAGAGAAGAGGTAGAGAGAGATAGAGAGGTAGAGAAGAGAGGGAGATAGAGAAGAGAGTTCGTCTCAAGTGTTCCTATCTTCTGTTGAAGACTACTTACTTTTGTTTGTTAGTGGAGAGAGGAAGGCCTCCTGTGTCTGTGGCCCCCCGTGGGACGAGGCAGTGTCCATCTCTTTAGGCTCCGGCCCCAGAGTCCCCAGCCCGTCTAGCCAGGTGTGGTTGTGGTTGCTGTTGTGTGCTGCGACCTGCGGGGGCGCTGTGTCCATGTCACTGTTCAACAGGCTGTCTATTGACTGGGACTTCAGTAGACGCTGGCTCAGCACTGGAAGAAGAGGGAGGAACACACACTGGGTCAGATTTTATTGAATGATAAAAAACAAATGCGACTTGAGAAAAAAATGTATTCTCAGTCACAAAGTTTGCATAAAAACACAATGAGTCAGAGCGTGATGGGGACAGACAGCCAAGGCTAAGACAGAGAGAGCCCCTGCAGCCCCAGCAGTCACACACATTTTCACAAGTATTCCAATGATCTAAACACACACACACACACAGGGTTGCACACACGCACACAAACCCTGGCGCTCACCTGTCCTGCGGTGTCCGTTCTTGAAAGGCGAGCTGATGGAGCAGGCTGGGATGACAGGAAACGGCCACAGGAAGTCCTTGTGGAGACACTTCAGCGCCATGACGAAGTCATCAACCCGCGCCACCCGCGTGCGCTCGCGGCACAGCCAGCCAATCAGCTCGAAGCCCAGCTGGGCAGAGAAACAACCCAGCTCTTTCAGTCTGACGTGCTCCAGGAGGTGACGGGCGTGACGCCTCAACATCATGTCTATGTACATGTTCTCTGCACAGTCACTGTCCTTAGACCACCTCTCAGACCTAGGAGGAGGAGTTATCGCTATGAGGACAAAGGCCTGTAGTATATACAGTGATTTACCAGAGTTGGGCTCAATTCCATCAAACTTTCAGTCAAATCAGGACCTGATTGCACCTTAATGAGCTGACGGGGGGTCAGTGTACTGAGCCGAGAACGTCACAATGGTTTAGAAGAGGAGAATATCTCTCAGTACACATTAGATCAGGGGTGTCAAACTCATTTTAGCTCAGGGGCCACATGGAGGAAAATCTATTCCCAAATGGGCCGGACCGGAAAAATCATGGTATATATAACTTAAAAACAACAACTTCAGATTGTTTTCTTTGTTTTAATACGATCAACATACAACATAAAGCTGGAGCCTGAGGACAGTGTGTCCAAAATAGTACAAGCACAACATCACTATTAATCATAAAACACGTCAAGTTTATTTGAAAATTCTAAAGAAAAAGAACACAAACACACAATGCCTCAGTGATTAACAGAACTGTTTCACAGATCACAGAACTATATCAGGGTGTCATTTCTCAGGCAGAAATGTAGATAAAAATAAATGAAATCCTGTTCCCCAACAAGTGGCCCAAAAAAATTGGCCCAGTGTCCGGGAGGGAAGGTGGCGGTTGGTCTTGGGTGGTGGGGTTTAACCGGGTTGTGGGGGTTTCCTTAAGAAAAATTTCAAAGGTGGCCGGAAAGGGGGCTTGCAAACCCTTAAGAAGAAAAGGGTCGGGATGTGGAGTGGGGTGGGGGGGTTGCTTGGTAAAGGAAAACCAGTGCATTTTAAAATATAAAAAGATTCCTAAGGGTTGGGGTAGGGTGGTATCTATGAAAATGTAATGGAGTGTAAAGATTTAAAAGGAAAAAATAGTAAAGAAACTTTTTATCTTAATTTCTGTTAATGTAGAAGTTTTTGGTTCTCCACCTGTTTTTAGCCCAATTTCGCTCCCCTTAAACAAAACCTTTAATTTAAAAGTGTCTTTTGATAGATTCGTCTGAAAATTTGGTATTAGATTTTTTTTTTAAGCTTCCAAACCTAACCTTAAATTTTTCCTTCCCTAAGAAAATTTTGACTTGAAATTAAACCCCCGGTTTTTTTAGTTTTCCTGCAAAAATTCAACTAAAAAACCCCTTTAAATTTTTTAAAGAAATGTTTAGGGGCTCTATGCAAACCCTTAAAATTCCTTAGTAGAGGAATTATCCCTGTAAGGTAAACCCTTTTATATGGGAAAACACTTAGCTGTTTATGCAAATGGCCGCTTGATGGGACGTCAAATGAACTAGAATCATGTCACTGATATATTTCCTATGAGTGGGAGACAGGTTACGTAGTCTGGGCCGGGACTTGTGTGGTCCCTTGTTTGCCAGCTCCATGAGAGAGGTTCAGTCAGAGTGGGGTCGGAACTGAGTGTAGAGAAGTTCTCATCCACCATTGGTCAACCCATCCACCATGTGCGGTCTCTGTCAGGTCTGGTGGCAAGAACGATATTGCACTCCTCCACTTGAAGAGAGAGAGGAAGAGAGTTAGAGTTAGAACGATTGAGAGGGTAGGTGAAGCGATAGAGAAGAGATAGAGATATAGAGAAGCGGTAGAGCGATAGAGAACGGTAGAGCGATAGAGAGCGGTAAGCGATAGAGCGATAGCGGTAAGAGCGATATATAAGCGGTAGAGCGATAGAGGTAGGAGAGCGTAGAGAGGGAGAGCGTAGAGAGCGATAGAGAAGCGGTAGAGCGATAGAGAAGCGGTAGAGGAGATAGAGAAGCGGTGAGCGATAGAGGTAGAGAGAGCGTTAAGAAGCAAGTAGGAGAGCGATAGAGAAGCTGGTAGAGATAGAGAAGGGGTTTTAGAGGCGATAGAGGTAGAGAAGCGGTATAGAAGCGGTAGAGAAGCGGTAGAGCGATAGGAAGCGTAGAGCGATAGGAGCGGTATGATAGAGGATGGTAGAAGGGTGAGGATGGAGGTAGAGAGAGAGTAGAGTAGAGTGATAGAGAAGAGGTAGAGAGAGGTAGGTGAGAGGTAGAGGTAGAAGGTAGAGTGAGAGGTAGAGAGGAGAGTAGACGAGAGGTAGACGAGAGCGAGAGAGAAGAGGTAGAGAGAGAGAGGTAGAGCGATAGAGAAGAGGTAGAGAGAGATAGAGAGGTAGAGAAGAGAGGGAGATAGAGAAGAGAGTTTGTCTCAAGTGTTCCTATCTTCTGTTAAAATACTACTTTTTTGTTGGTGGAGGGGAGGAGGCTCCTGTGTCTGTGGCCCCCGTGGGACGAGGCAGTGTCCATCTCTTTAGGCTCCGGCCCAGAGTCCCCAGCCCGTCTAGCCAGGTGTGGTTGCTGTTGCGTGCTGCGGCCTGCGGGGGCGCTGTGTCCATGTCACTGTTCAACAGGCTGTCTATTGACTGGGACTTCAGTAGACGCTGGCTCAGCACTGGAAGAAGAGGGAGGAACACACACTGGGTCAGATTTAATTGAATGATAAAAAACAAATGCGACTTGAGAAAAAAATGTATTCTCAGTCACAAAGTTTGCATAAAAACACAATGAGTCAGAGCGTGATGGGACAGACAGCCAAGGCTAAGACAGAGAGAGCCCTGCAGCCCCAGCAGTCACACACATTTTCACAAGTATTCCAATGATCTAAACACACACACACACACACACACAGGGTTGCACACACGCACACAAACAAACCCTGGCGCTCACCTGTCCTGCGGTGTCCGTTCTTGAAAGGCGAGCTGATGGGCAGGCTGGGATGACAGGAAACGGCCACAGGAAGTCCTTGTGGAGACACTTCAGCGCCATGACGAAGTCATCAACCCGCGCCACCCGCGTGCGCTCGCGGCACAGCCAGCCAATCAGCTCGAAGCCCAGCTGGGCAGAGAAACAACCCAGCTCTTTCAGTCTGACGTGCTCCAGGAGGTGACGGGCGTGACGCCTCAACATCATGTCTATGTACATGTTCTCTGCACAGTCACTGTCCTTAGACCACCTCTCAGACCTAGGAGGAGGAGTTATCGCTATGAGGACAAAGGCCTGTAGTACATACAGTGATTTACCAGAGTTGGGCTCAATTCCATCAAACTTTCAGTCAAATCAGGACCTGATTGCACCTTAATGAGCTGACGGGGGTCAGTGTACTGAGCCGAGAACGTCACAATGTTTTGGAAGAGGAGAATATCTCTCAGTACACATTAGATACTCAACAAACAAAAGCTGCCTTTGGATCTCTGGATCCTATGATCCCTAAAGATACCCTAAAGAGAGGAGTTGTCAAAGAAAATGTGTGTGTGTGTGTGTGTGTGTTTGTGGCGTACCCCTTAGCGGAGGGCCCAGAGGGCATGCTGAAGGTCTTCTGGAGGTTAAACTTCCCAGAAGCGATGCTGTCAGCTGACTGAGACAGACTGACGCTGCGGTTCCTGAAGAACTCAAAACCCCCTGTCGAATGGGTTCCTGTTTGACAGGAACAGATCATTATCAGGGGGAAACTCATCCAGTAGGCCTCTGAAACGGCAGGCTTCTATACAAATGGAAATACAAACCGTATAGCCAGTTTTATGGTATCTATATCCAATTATAGAGAGGTGGAGGCAATAGCCTTAAGACCAGTCTTCAATCTATACAGTAGTTTTAGACCATCTCAACCATTATCCCCATAGATAAAACTAAGCGTTAAGATGTTTAGGTCTAACTCCTAAGAAACGTGTCAGATTGTCTGACAATCACAGAAAGAGAGACAAGAGTAGAGATAGGTAGAAAGACAGCGATAGAAGACAGAAAGCGATGATACATTTGTTCCTTCCTGTACCTGAGTGGTTGGTGTTGGGGGTGGGGTCCTCCATCTCTCCAGAGCCAATGGCTTTGAGGAATCGGATCATGTGACGACAGAGGTCCCACTTGCCCTGCTCCAGAGCCGTGTTGAAGAGTAGCGTAGCGTGTTGCCTGCTCACTGCTGGAACCTCCATGTTCTGAGGACAACAGTCACATTATCAATACAAGCCCTTTAACTACTTAACCCTTAACCCGAACCTTAAACCCTGGCTCCAACCCTAACCTTAACCCTGGCTCCAACCCTAACCTTAACCCTGGCTCCAACCCTAACTTAACCCCTGGCTCCAACCCTACCTAACCCTGGCTCCAACCCTAACCCCGATACCAGTCACATTTCTAAATAATGTTTGCCTCTGGCTATTACGATATGAGATAGGGGAGTATGTTTTACCTGTGGTATAATGAGATAGGATGCAGCTGTGTCCAGGTGGATAAGTGTTTTACCTGTAGTATAATGAGAGGATGCAGCTGTGTCCAGTGGATAAGTGTTTACCTGTAGTAATAATTAGATAGGATGCAGCTGTGTCCAGGTGGATAAGTGTTTACCTGTAGTATGATGTGATAGGATGCAGCTGTGTCCATGTGGATAAGTGTTTTACCTGTAGTATAATGAGATAGGTATGCAGCGGTATCCAGGTGGGTAAGTGTTTACCTGTAGTATAATGAGATAGGATGCAGCTGTGTCCAGGTGGATAAGTGTTTACCTGTAGTATAATGAGATAGGATGCAGCGGTGTCCAGGTGGATAAGTGTTTACCTGTAGTATAATGAGATAGGATGCAGCGGTGTCCCAGGTGGATAAAATGTTTACCTGTAGTATAATGAGATAGGATGCAGCTGTGTCCAGGTGGATAAGTGTTTACCTGTAGTATAATGAGATATGATGCAGCTGTGTCCAGGTGGATAAGTGTTTACCGTTAGTATAATGAGATAGGATGCAGCTGTGTCCAGGTGGATAAGTGTTTACCTGTATATAATGAGATAGGATGCAGCTGTGTCCAGGTGGATAAGTGTTTACCTGTAGTATAATGAGATAGGATGCAGCTGTGTCCAGGTGGATAAGTGTTTACCTGTAGTATAATGAGATGGATGCAGCTGTGTCCAGGTGGATAAGTGTTTACCTGTAGTATAATGAGATAGGATGCAGCGGTGTCCAGGTGGATAAGTGTTTACCTGTAGTATAATGAGATAGGATGCAGCTGTGTCCAGGTGGATAAGTGTTTACTTGTGGTATAATGAGATAGGATGCAGCGGTGTCCAGTGGATAAGTGTTTACCTGTAGTATAATGGGATAGGATGCAGCTGTGTCCAGGTGGATAAGTTTTTTACCTGTGGTATAATGAGATAGTATGCAGCTGTATCCAGGTGGATAAGTGTTTTTCCTGTAGTATAATGAGATAGGATGCAGCTGTGTCCAGGTGGATAAGTGTTTACCTGTAGTATAATGAGATAGGATGCAGTGTGTCCAGGTGGATAAGTGTTTTACCTGTAGTATTGATGAGATAGTATGCAGCTGTTCCAGGTGGATAAGTGTTTACCTGTAGTATAATGAGATAGGATGCAGCTGTATCCAGGTGGATAAGTGTTTACCTGTGTAATAATGAGATAGGATGCAGCTGTTCCAGGTGGATAAGTGTTTACCCTGTAGTATGATGAGATAGGATGCAGCTGTTCCAGTCATAGCCATTTAGACCACTCCTCAAACAGATCCTTGGGGTTTCCCACGGCAGCAAACAGGTAGTTCCACAGGGCGAACCTCTGTCTTCCTGGCGCAGTGCCACGATTGTCGGAGCAGGACCACACAGGCGGAGCTACATTAGGCCCAGAGTAGTAATGGGGATCCTAATCAAATACTACAAGCTCTATGAGCCCAGGTGAAAAGTAGTGATAGGATGCTATTTGGAACACAACGCAGGACCTTTAATGTCCTAGACTAGGCGACATCCATTAACCACTCCATCAACATCTCTCTCTCTTACCTGGAGGAACAGGGGGAACTCGGTGATGAACTTGGCCACGGTTGGCAGCAGCGGGTCGGGGATGGGCTCCCGGGAGGTGGCTTCCTCCTCCAGCCCACGTGGACCATGAGCTCCATGACATGGGGGAAGTAGGGGAGAGCTGCGCAGGACTGGGCCAGGAGAAGGGCCTGCTCCCCCAGGTTACGGACCAGGAGTTGCCTCAGGATGTGGTGGAGGTAGATCTGGGAGGTCCTCTCCACAGTGCAATAGGGGAACACCCCCTCTAGTGACTCCCAGCCCTCTCTGGGACCCTGGAGAAAATATAAAAAATATATATTCGTATCTCTAAACCTCTTACTGCCCACTGACTCGCTTTCCCTGAAATAAGTGAACATACGCTAGAAATAGTTTCAGATCCTGACCAAAGCCTTGACCTTATGCCCTCCTACACCAGCAACAATCAAGCTCTAAACATGGTAGAAAAAGCAGATGTCCGAGCTATCCCCCAGACCCAACTCCTATAGTACCTGCAGGCCTCATAGACAGTCTCATGGAGGCCCCAGGGCATCATACAATAGTCTACTTCCGCAGCTCCTGATGCTCGGTAGTAAACAAGACTGCTGTTTCTTCAGACCCGCCCAACAGTTCATTCACCTTCTCTCATCTCCGCTGTCCTTGAAAGTTGTCATATTTGTCGGCATGAAGACTCACATAGTGGCGACGAAGGTTATATTCTTTCAGCACTGCAACATGCTCTGAACACACCAAACATACAGCTTTCCCATTCAATTCCGTGAATAAATAGGATGACCATTTTTCTTGGAACACTCTGCACTCTGCGTCCACTTTTCTCTTTTTTGACAGAGACATATTGGGGCAATGAGGGTGCCAAAGGACATAATGTTAAAAGTAGAAGCCGTAATAAATATCGCGGGCAAAACAAAGTAGCTCATTGGCTGCACGTGCTTGACCTACTTGCTCTGCCCCGGTATAAACAGTTTGCTTGCTTAACACAATTGCTATTGCGCCATCCAGTGGACGCAATTGGAACAGCAGTTTATTTTATAGAAAAATTGCAGCGCATTTTTATACTTTACAAAAGTATTATTATTATTATTTTTTCAAAATCATCTCGCGGGCCGGATTAAACCCGTTTGCGGGCCTGATCCGGCCCGTGGGCCGGACGTTTGACACCCCTGCATTAGATACTCAACAAACAAAAGCTGCCTTTGGATCTCTGGATCCTATGATCCCTAAAGAGAGGAGTTGTCAAAGAAAATATGTGTGTGTGTGTGTTTGTGGCGTACCCCTTAGCGGAGGGCCCAGAGGGCATGCTGAAGGTCTTCTGGAGGTTAAACTTCCCAGAAGCGATGCTGTCAGCTGACTGAGACAGACTGACGCTGCGGTTCCTGAAGAACTCAAAACCCCCTGTCGAACTGGGTTCCTGTTGACAGGACAGATCATTATCAGGGGGAAACTCATCCAGTAAGCCTCTGAAACGGCAGGCTTCTATACAAATGGAAATACACCGTATAGCCAGTTATGGGTATCTATATCCAATTATAGAGAGGTGGAGGCAATAGCCTTAAGACCAGTCTTCAATCTATACAGTAGTTTTAGACCATCTCAACCATTATCCCCATAGATAAAACTAAAGCGTTAAGATGTTTAGGTCTAACTCCTAAGAAACGTGTCAGATTGTCTGACAATCACAGAAAGAGAGACAAGAGTAGAGATAGGTAGAAAGACAGCGATAGAAGACAGAAAGCGATGATACATTTGTTCCTTCCTGTACCTGAGTGGTTGGTGTTGGGGGTGGGGTCTCCATCTCTCCAGAGCCAATGGCTTTGAGGAATCGGATCATGTGACGACAGAGGTCCCACTTGCCCTGCTCCAGAGCCGTGTTGAAGAGTAGCGTAGCGTGTTGCCTGCTCACTGCTGGAACCTCCATGTTCTGAGGACAACAGTCACATTATCAATACAAGCCCTTTAACTACTTAACCCTTAACCCGAACCTTAACCCTGGCTCCAACCCTAACCTTAACCCTGGCTCCAACCCTAACCTTAACCCTGGCTCCAACCCTAACTTTAACCCTGGCTCCAACCCTAACCTTAACCCTGGCTCCAACCCTAACCCCGATACCAGTCACATTTCTAAATAATGTTTGCCTCTGGCTATTACGATATGAGATAGGGGAGTATGTTTACCTGTGGTATAATGAGATAGGATGCAGCTGTGTCCAGGTGGATAAGTGTTTACCTGTAGTATAATGAGAGGATGCAGCTGTGTCCAGGTGGATAAGTGTTTACCTGTAGTATAATGAGATAGGATGCAGCTGTGTCCAGGTGGATAAGTGTTTACCTGTAGTATGATGTGATAGGATGCAGCTGTGTCCAGGTGGATAAGTGTTTACCTGTAGTATAATGAGATAGGATGCAGCGGTATCCAGGTGGGTAAGTGTTTACCTGTAGTATAATGAGATAGGATGCAGCTGTGTCCAGGTGGATAAGTGTTTACCTGTAGTATAATGAGATAGGATGCAGCGGTGTCCAGGTGGATAAGTGTTTACCTGTAGTATAATGAGATAGGATGCAGCGGTGTCCAGGTGGATAAGTGTTTACCTGTAGTATAATGAGATAGGATGCAGCTGTGTCCAGGTGGATAAGTGTTTACCTGTAGTATAATGAGATATGATGCAGCTGTGTCCAGGTGGATAAGTGTTTACCTGTAGTATAATGAGATAGGATGCAGCTGTGTCCAGGTGGATAAGTGTTTACCTGTAGTATAATGAGATAGGATGCAGCGGTGTCCAGGTGGATAAGTGTTTACCTGTAGTATAATGAGATAGGATGCAGCTGTGTCCAGGTGGATAAGTGTTTACCTGTGGTATAATGAGATAGGATGCAGCGGTGTCCAGGTGGATAAGTGTTTACCTGTAGTATGATGTGATAGGATGCAGCTGTATCCAGGTGGATAAGTGTTTACCTGTAGTATAATGAGATAGGATGCAGCTGTGTCCAGGTGGATAAGTGTTTACCTGTGGTATAATGAGATAGGATGCAGCGGTGTCCAGGTGGATAAGTGTTTACCTGTAGTATAATGAGATAGGATGCAGCTGTGTCCAGGTGGATAAGTGTTTACCTGTAGTATAATGAGATAGGATGCAGCTGTATCCAGGTGGATAAGTGTTTACCTGTAGTATAATGAGATAGGATGCAGCTGTATCCAGGTGGATAAGTGTTTACCTGTAGTATAATGAGATAGGATGCAGCTGTGTCCAGGTCCTGAGCCATCAGACACTCCTCAAACAGATCCTTGGGGTTGCCCACGGCAGCAAACAGGTAGTTCCACAGGGCGAACTCTGTCTTCCTGGCGCAGTGCACGATTGTCTGGAGCAGGACCACACAGGCGGAGCTACATTAGGCCCAGAGTAGTAATGGGGATCCTAATCAAATACTACAAGCTCTATGAGCCCAGGTGAAAAGTAGTGATAGGATGCTATTTGGAACACAACTCAGGACCTTTAATGTCCTAGACTAGGCGACATCCATTAACCACTCCATCAACATCTCTCTCTCTTACCTGGAGGAACAGGGGGAACTCGGTGATGAACTTGGCCACGGTTGGCAGCAGCGGGTCGGGGATGGGCTCCCGGGAGGTGGCTTCCTCCTCCAGCACCACGTGGACCATGAGCTCCATGACATGGGGGAAGTAGGGGAGAGCTGCGCAGGACTGGGCCAGGAGAAGGGCCTGCTCCCCCAGGTTACGGACCAGGAGTTGCCTCAGGATGTGGTGGAGGTAGATCTGGGAGGTCCTCTCCACAGTGCAATAGGGGAACACCCCCTCTAGTGACTCCCAGCCCTCTCTGGGACCCTGGAGAAAATATAAAAAATATATATTCGTATCTCTAAACCTCTTATCTGCCCACTGACTCGCTTTCCCTGAAATAAAGTGAACATACAGCTAGAAAAATAGTTTCAGATCTCTGACACAAATGCCTTGACCATTATGCTCCTCCTACACCAAGCCAACCAATCAAAGCTCTAAACAATGGATAGAAAAGAGCAGATGCTCCGAGCTATCCCACCCAGACCCAAACACTCCTACTACAGTACCTGCAGGCCATCATAGAGCAAGGTCTCAATGGAGGCCCCCAGCACCAGGGAATACTACTACTATCCAGGCTCTGTCGTAGCCGGCCGCGACCGGGAGACCCATGGGGCGGCGCACAATTGGCCCAGCGTCGTCCAGGGTAGGGGAGGGAATGGCCGGCAGGGGATGTAGCTCAGTTGGTAGAGCATGGCGTTTGCAACGCCAGGGTTGTGGGTTCGATAAAATAATGTATGTGCTAACTGTAAGTCGCTCTGGATAAGAGCGTCTGCTAAATGACTAAAATGTAAATGTAAATGTACTATAACAACTACTACTCCTCCTATAATAACTACTACTACTACTACTATAATAACTACTACTACTACTACTACTCCTCCTATAATAACTACTACTACTACTCCTCCTATAATAACTACTACTACTACTACTACTACTACTACTACTACTCCTCCTCCTCCTATAATAACTACTACTACTCCCTACCTGCAGGCTGTCATAGATCACAGTCTCATTAGATGCCCCCAGCACCAGGGAATACTACTAATATAATAACTACTACTACATTAATCCTCCTCCTCCCTACCTGCAGTCCTCATAACACAGTCTCTACTTAGCCCCCAACACTAGGCTCTTCAACAACGCACTCCTCAGTAATCTGACTCTGAAACTGATCGCGGACAAAGGCTGTCTACGATCACAGTCCATTAGGGAGCCCCCTCAAAGAATAACGACTATATATATTTAGAACATGACCACAAAACACATATATTCCTCCTCACCACCTCGTTGGAGGCCCCCAGCACCAGGGCGTCTTCAAACAGCACGGCCAGGGGGTAGATGTTGATGTGGAAGGGGAGCATGATGCGGCGGGACAGGAAGGAGTGGGGCTTACGATGGTCACGAGGGAACAGGGGGAGCCACACCTTCAGATAAGATAACAGAACATCATATAAGGAAATTAGGTTTGTAGAATCATTGCAGCCAGCAAAGACAACGTTTAGTTAATTTATTTGTCCATTTACAGACAACAACAAAAATGACAATAATCCACAACATAAGTAGTAAAAACAGATAGCAGTATGAAGCAGCAACATACCTTCATCCCAGCCTCTCCACACGACAACCACAGAGCCTCCAGTAGGTGGCGCTTCTTCCCGCTACTACGACACGTCGTCCACACATTCTCTACATACTGGGCCAGAACCACTGGAGGACAGAACATCAGCTGGAGGGAGAGAGAGTTACACACCATAACAACCTCTCTCTCACACACACACACACACTAGAACTACAATATATAATGTATCATTTATGATACAAATAATTAATCAATAATGAAGTGACTGGTTGCTGGGTGTAATGATTATTTCCTATTGTTAGATATATTATAACCTGACAATCCAAGACAACTATCAATAGGGGGAAGGCTTGGGGTCAAATCCATTTCCATTCAGGAAGTACACTTGACTGAATTGAAATGTAATTGACCCCAACCCTGCTAGGAGGTGAATAGGGGATGTGACTGGGACTCACCAGTTTCTTCTGGTCTTCCTTCTCTTGTAACTGTGGTCCAGAACGGTCTCTCTGTAACATGATTAGCTGGCCTGCCAGGTTCAGTATGATGCTGTCTGCCATACAGGCCTGTCACGGGCACAGAGGGACACACAAACATTAATACATTTACATTTGAATCCTTTAGCAGACGTTGTTATCCAGAGCAACTCAGTACATAGAATTAAGGTAGGTTAAACCAACCACACATATCACGATCACTGTAAGTAAAAACCTTCTTGAAAATAGCCACTTTAGTAAGAGTTAAAGAAAAGTGCTAGGAGGGGGAGGGTCAGTGGGAGAGAAGTACACTGAGGTGTCGTGTTCACGGTGGGAAAGGTGTATTGAATCCTACCTGCTGTGGGGCTCTGAGCGTGATGCCGTCTCTGTGCGTACGGAGGTGAGGGTGTGTGTCTGTGTGTGTACCTGCTGTGGGGCTCTGAGCGTGATGCCGGTCTCTGTGCGTACGGAGGTGAGAGTGTGTGTCTGTGTGTGTACCTGCTGTGGGGCTCTGAGCGTGATGCCGGTCTCTGTGCGTACGGAGGTGAGGGTGTGTGTCTGTGTGTGTACCTGCTGTGGGGCTCTGAGCGTGATGCCGGTCTCTGTGCGTACGGAGGTGAGGGTGTGTGTCTGTGTGTGTACCTGCTGTGGGGCTTTGAGCGTGATGCCGGTCTCTGTGCGTACGGAGGTGAGGGTGTCTGTGTGTGTACCTGCTGTGGGGCTCTGAGCGTGATGCCGGTCTCTGTGCGTACGGAGGTGAGGGTGTGTGTCTGTGTGTGTACCTGCTGTGGGGCTCTGAGCGTGATGCCGGTCTCTGTGCGTACGGAGGTGAGGGTGTGTGTCTGTGTGTGTACCTGCTGTGGGGCTTTGAGCGTGATGCCCGTCTCTGTGCGTACGGAGGTGAGGGTGTCTGTGTGTGTACCTGCTGTGGGGCTCTGAGCGTGATGCCCGTCTCTGTGCGTACGGAGGTGAGGGTGACAGACACCACCAGTGCAGGATGAGGAATGTAGCGAGACATGGACACCTCCTGAAGCAGCTCAACACTAGCTGACGGATTGGGCCTACGGACAGAGATGCACACACACAGGAGCGATAGAGGGAAACACAATCAATACACTACTAGTAGCATTTACTGTATTGGTCAGTTGTAAAGCGCAACCCCAGTTAAGGCCCAAACCAATGTTCAACTGTTTTGTAGGTTACTATGACATCTTGTCACTTTATCTTACTTCCTTATTTGTGTAAACTCTCTTTATTTTCGTATCTACACTGGTAACATGTTTCATGAGCTGAAGTAAAAAATCCCATCATGTGATAAGTATTATTGGGTTTTTCCCCACCTGACTTTCTCTTCACAACAGTACTGATTACTGTCTGAGACCTTCTCGGTCAGGTGACATTCAGTACCTGTCCTGTCCTGCTAGTAATGTTGTGTGTGAGAGTGAGAGAGATTTTGTTTGTTGAGTATGAGTGGGTGTGCATGCCTGTGCCTGTCCTCAGCACTGTGTGTATCAGCCTACCCGTCATGCCTCCTCTCAATGCTGTAGAGGCAGATGGAGCAGTCTGCTCTGAAGAGGATGATCATGTCTCTGAACACGTTGAGCAGCAGAGTGTCAGAGTGCAGCTTGGTGATGGATGAGAAGGTATTATCCAGGTTAGACGACCGCAGGTACAGACGCAGCTAGCCAGGGAGAAATAGCACAATCATTACATCTACTGTATATATCCACCAATCAGATAAAGTCACAGCTAGCCAGGGAGAAATAGCACAATCATTACATCTACTGTATATATCCACCAATCAGATAAAGTCACAGCTAGCCAGGAGGACAGGAGAAACATTCAATACTGTTGTTCTTTTCGTCTCTCAATCAATCAGTCGGTCAATCCAATCCAATCAATCAATCATTAACTGAATCCAACAGCTGGTGCGAAAACACATTCTCAATCAATCAGTCAGTCAGTCAGCCAGTCAGTCAGTCAGTCAGTCAGTCAGTCTGTCAGTCAGTCAGTCACTCTACAATTCATCCCTCTACATTTCATCTAAACACAATGAGAATAGGGTGTAGTGAAAAAAGGGGGGTATTGTGCTGGATTGTCAGTTATCTGTGTCCTGTCCTGGCGTGTTGTATCCTGTTGTGTCATATTGTATTGTGTCGTGTCGTATTGTATTGTGTTCGGTCGTGTCGTATTGTGTCGTGTCGTGTATTGTACACTACCGGTCAAAAGTTTTAGAACACCTACTCATTGAAGGGTTTTTCTTTATTTTTACTATTTTCTACATTGTAGAATAATAGTGAAGACATCAAAACTATGAAATAACACATATGGAATCATGTAGTAACCAAAAAAGTGTTAAACAAATCAAAATATATTTTATATTTGAGATTCTTCAAATAGCCACCCTTTGCCTTGATGACAGCTTTGCACACTCTTGGCATTCTCTCAACCAGCTTCATGAGGTAGTCACCTGGAATGAATTTATATTAACAGGTTTGCCTTCTTAAAAGTTAATTTGTGGAATTTCTTTCCTTCTTAATGCGTTTGAGCCAGTCAGTTGTGTTGTAACAAGGTAGGGGGGGGTATACAGAAGATAGTCCTATTTGGTAAAAGACCAAGTCCATATTATGGCAAGAACAGCTCAAATAAGCAAAGAGAAACGACAGTCCATCATTACTTTAAGACATGAAGGTCAGTCAATACGGTACATTTAAGAACTTTGAACGTTTCTACAAGTGCAGTCGCAAAAACCATCAAGCACTATGATGAAACTGGCTCTCATGAGGACCGCCACAGGAATGGAAGACCCAGAGTTACCTCTGCTGCAGAGGATAAGTTCATTAGAGTTACCAGCCTCAGAAATTGCAGCCCAAATAAATGCTTCACAGAGTTCAAGTAACAGACACATCTCAACATCAAATGTTCAGAGGAGACTGTGTGAATCAGGCCTTCATAGTCGAATTTCTGCAAAGAAACCACTACTAAAGGACACCAATAATAAGAAGAGACTTGCTTGGGCCAAGAAACACGAGCAATGGACAATAGACCAGTGGAAATTTGTCCTTTGGTCTGGAGTCTAAATTTTAGATTTTTGGTTCCAACCACCGTGTCTTTGTGAGACGTGGTGTGGGTGAACGGATGATCTCCGCATGTGTATTTCCCACCGTAACGCATGGAGGAGGTGGTGTTATGGTGTGGGGATGCTTTGCTGGTGACACCTCAACCAAATTGAGATGGTTTGGGATGAGTTGGACCACAGAGTGAATGAAAAGCAGCTAACAAATGCTCAGCATATGTGGGAACTCCTTCACGACTGTTGGAAAAGCATTCCAGGTGAAGCTGGTTGACAGAATGCCACGAGTGTGCAAAGCTGTCATCAAGGCAAAGGGTGGCTATTTGAAGAATCTCAAATATAAAATATATTTTGATTTCTTTAACACTTTTTTGGTTACTACATGATTCCATATGTTATTTCATCGTTTTGATGTCTTCACTATTATTCTACAGTGTAGAAAATAGTAAAAAATAAAGAAAAACCCTTGAATGAGTAGGTGTTCTAAAACTTTTGACCATTAGTTTATTGTGTTGTGTCATGTCGTATTGTGTCGTGTCGTGTCGTGTCGTGTTGTGTTGTGTTGTGTTGTATTGTGTTGTATTGTGTTGTATTGTCTCACCTCTTCTTGCTGGTCGATGAAGTTGTAACAGGCAACAACAACAAAGCCATTCCACCAGACCAGCCCCCCTGTAACGGTCATGTTCTGCTCCTGAGTGATGTTCCCAAACAACTTCCATTTCCTGGTGGACATGGAGTAATGTGCAAATCCACGTCTCCCTGCTACCGCTATGCACTGGCCTGCTGTGTCTATGGCTGCAAACTAGAGACGCACAGGGACATCAATAGATACATTTACTAGACACACACACACACACACACACACACACACACACAGACAGACACAGGCACACACACACACACACAGCCTCATTCATGATCCTACTGTATCTATAGCTGCAAAGTGAACGAGGACATATTGGACAAACGTTATTGATTTACCTACTCAGGCTAATGTTGTTTTATATAGCTGGGCTACAATCAATCTCAGACACACACACGTAGAAGTATTTCCCACACTGACTCACCCGTATAGGCCAGTTGTTCTCTAGGTATGTACTGTGAATCTACGAGAGAGAGTATTACTGACATGATAATACAACTCATATCAACGCTAAATCTGAAGGGGATTCTTAGACTATAAATTGTACACTTTTACATAATTTAAAAAAACGATTAAACTTGAGATAGATAGCCAACTAAGAAGTGCGTATGAGGTTTTACCTGGACAACGTGCCAGTGCTTGTGTCCCAGTAAAGTGCTGAGTCCCTGAGAGGTAGAGTTGGGTGAGGGGGTGGAGGGGTGGTGGGGGGGGCTGCCCTCCCCGCCGTGGGGGAGGTTATGGGGGTAGGGGCTCTCTGAGCTGCTAGAGGGGAGCTGGGTGGGGTCACCACAGGTTAGGTAGAGACGGTCCTCCCCGTGCAGTAACACCTGCTCCTGGTTATTCTGGAGACAACAGGTACTCATTATTCCTCATATAAAAGACTATGCAGAATACATCACTTTTTCGTACACTTGTGTATTATACACCACAATATACAGTGCCTTCAGAAAGTATTCACACCCCTGGACTTTATCCACATTTTGATGTGTTGCAGCATGAATAAAACATTTAGTAAATTTAGATTATTTTTGTCACTGGCCCATAATGTCAAAGTTAAATTATGGTTTTAGAAATGTTTACAAATTAATAAAAAATGAAAAGCTGAAATGTCTTGAGTCAATAAGCGTTCAACCATTTTGTTATGGCAAGCCTAAATAAGTTTGGGAGTAAAAATGTGCTTAACAAGTCACATATGTTGCATGGACTCACTCTGTGTGCAATAATAGTGTTTAACATTTTTTTTTTTTTTTTTATGACTACCCCATCTTTGTACCCCACAGATACAATTATCTGTAAGGTCCCTCAGTCGAGCAGTGAATTTCAAACACAGATTCAACCACAAAGACCAGGGAGGTTAAACAAAAAAGCAGATATTGAATATCCCTTTGAGCATGGTGAAGTAATTAATTACACTTTGGATGGTGTATCAATACAACCAGTCACTACAAAGATACATGCGCCCTTCCTAACTTAGTTGCCGAAGAGGCAGTTACTGAATTTAATGGCTGTGATAACTGAGGATGGATCAACAACATTGTAGTTACTCCACAATATTAACATAAATGACAGAGTGAAAAGAAGGAAGCTTCTACATAATACAAATATTCCAAAACATGCATCCTGTTTGCAATAAGGCACTAAAGAAATACTGCAAAAAATGTGGCAAATAAATGAACTTTTTGTCCTGAATACAAAGCGTTAAATCCAACACGTCACCGAGTAACACTTCATATTTTCCAAGCATGGTGGTGGCTGCATCACATTATGGATAAGCTTGTCATCAGCAAGGACTAGGGATTTTTTTAGGATAAAAAGAAACAATAGAGCTAAGCACAGGCAAAGTCCTAGAGGAAAACCTGGTTCAGTCTGCTTTCTAACAGACACTGGGAGACAAATTCACCTTTCAGCAGGACATTAACCTAAAACACAAGGCCAAATATACACTGGAGTTGCTTACCAAGACGACATTGAATGTTCCTGAGCGGCCTATTTACAGTTTTGACTTAAAATCGGCTTGAAAATCTAGGGCAAGACTTGAAAATGGCTGTCTAGCAATGATCAACATCCAACTTGACAGAGCTTGAATATTTTTTATTTTTTTTTAAATGGGCAAATAATTCTAACATGTATTGACTCAAGGTTGAATACTTATCTAATCAAGATAGTGTTTTATTTTCCATTAATTGTAAAAATAAAGAATAAAGTATATATACAGTGGGGGAAAAAAGTATTTAGTCAGCCACCAATTGTGCAAGTTCTCCCACTTAAAAAGATGAGAGAGGCCTGTAATTTTCATCATAGGTACACGTCAACTATGACAGACAAAATGAGATTTTTTTTCTCCAGAAAATCACATTGTAGGATTTTTAATGAATTTATTTGCAAATTATGGTGGAAAATAAGTATTTGGTCAATAACAAAAGTTTCTCAATACTTTGTTATATACCCTTTGTTGGCAATGACACAGGTCAAACGTTTTCTGTAAGTCTTCACAAGGTTTTCACACACTGTTGCTGGTATTTTGGCCCATTCCTCCATGCAGATCTCCTCTAGAGCAGTGATGTTTTGGGGCTGTCGCTGGGCAACACAGACTTTCAACTCCCTCCAAAGATTTTCTATGGGGTTGAGATCTGTAGACTGGCTAGGCCACTCCAGGACCTTGAAATGAGTCTTACGAAGCCACTCCTTCGTTGCCCGGGCGGTGTGTTTGGGATCATTGTCATGCTGAAAGACCCAGCCATGTTTCATCTTCAATGCCCTTGCTGATGGAAGGAGGTTTTCACTCAAAATCTCACGATACATGGCCCCATTCATTCTTTCCTTTACACGGATCAGTCGTCCTGGTCCCTTTGCAGAAAAACAGCCCCAAAGCATGATGTTTCCACCCCCATGCTTCACAGTAGGTATGGTGTTCTTTGGATGCAACTCAGCATTCTTTGTCCTCCAAACACGACGAGTTGAGTTTTTACCAAAAAGTTATATTTTGGTTTCATCTGACCATATGACATTCTCCCAATCCTCTTCTGGATCATCCAAATGCACTCTAGCAAACTTCAGACGGGCCTGGACATGTACTGGCTTAAGCAGGGGGACACGTCTGGCACTGCAGGATTTGAGTCTCTGGCGGCGTAGTGTGTTACTGATGGTAGGCTTTGTTACTTTGGTCCCAGCTCTCTGCAGGTCATTCACTAGGTCCCCCCGTGTGGTTCTGGGATTTTTGCTCACCGTTCTTGTGATCATTTTGACCCCACAGGGTGAGATCTTGCGTGGAGCCCCAGATCGAGGGAGATTATCAGTGGTCGTGTATGTCTTCCATTTCCTAATAATTGCTCCCACAGTTGATTTCTTCAAACCAAGCTGCTTACCTATTGCAGATTCAGTCTTCCCAGCCTGGTGCAGGTCTACAATTTTGTTTCTGGTGTCCTTTGACAGCTCTTTGGTCTTGGCCATAGTGGAGTTTGGAGTGTGACTGTTTGAGGTTGTGGACAGGTGTCTTTTATACTGATAACAAGTTCAAACAGGTGCCATTAATACAGGTAACGAGTGGAGGACAGAGGAGCCTCTTAAAGAAGAAGTTACAGGTCTGTGAGAGCCAGAAATCTTGCTTGTTTGTAGGTGACCAAATACTTATTTTCCACCATAATTTGCAAATCAATTCATAAAAAATCCTACAATGTGATTTTCTGGATTTTTTTTTCCTCATTTTGTCTGTCATAGTTGATGTGTACATATGATGAAAATTACAGGCCTCTCATCTTTTTAAGTGGGAGAACTTGCACAATTGGTGGCTGACTAAATACTTTTTTTCCCCACTGTATATATATATATATATAAATAATTTTTCTTCCACTTCGACATTAAAGTATTTTGTGTAGATCGTTGACAAACAATGACAATTAAATCAATTTTAATCCCACTTTGTAACACAACAAAATGTGGAAAAAGTCAAGGGGTGTGAATACTTTCTGAGGCACTGTAAGTGGGTTGCAGGTGTGTGTGAGTGTGCATGTCCATAACCTCACCGTGCAGGGGTTGACAGTGAGGGCGCTCTTGATGAAGTGGAACTGCAATATGGAAGCCTGCTGGGTCTGGGGAGGAGCCTCCTCCATGTTCTCTACTAGCTCCGCTTCCTCTCTGCTGGTGATGACCCACAGGTGGTAGCCCTCTGCTCCCCAGCACATTGAGCTGATATTTATAGGGTCCTTTTTAGTGCCGTCTGACCGATACCTGGAGAGAGATGGGACGGCAGAATACTATAAGAAATCAATGAAAGAGCGCCATCTTCAGTCTGTACCGTGGTCTTGTTTTTGTTGTATGGAATGTTTACATCTACAGTGCATTTCGGAGAGTATTCAGACCCCTTCACTTTTTAAACATTTTGTTATGTTACAGCCTTATTCTAAAAATTGATTAAAATAGCCCCCCCCCCCCATCAATCTACACAAAATACCCCATAATGACAAAGCAAAAACAGGTTTTTAGAAATGTGTGCAAATTTATAAAAAATGTAAAACTGAAATATGACATTTACACAAGTATTCAGACCCTTTACTCTGTACTTTGTTGAAGCACCTTTGGCAGCGATTACAGCCTTGAGTCTTCTTGGGTATGACGCTACAAGCTTGGCACACCTGTATTTGGAGAGTTTCTCCCATTCTTCTCTGCAGATCCTCTCAAGCTCTGTCAGGTTGGATGGGAAGCATCGCTGAACAGCTATTTTCAGGTCTCTCCAGAAATGTTTGATCGGGTTCAAGTCCGGGCTCTGGCTGAGCCACTCAAGGACATTCAGAGACTTGTCCCGAAGCCCCTCCTGCGTTGTCTTGACTGTGTGCTTAGGGTCGTTGTCCTGGCTGTGTGCTTAGGGTCGTTGTCCTGTTGAAATGTGAACCATCGCCCCAGTCGGAGGTCCTGAGCGCTCTGAATCTTGGTTTCATCAGACCAGAGAATCTTGTTTCTCATGGTCTGAGAGTCCTTTAGGTGCCTTTTGGCAAACTCCAAGCGGGCTGTCATGTGCCTTTTACTGAGGAGTGGCTTCCGTCTGGCCACTCTACCATAAAGGCCTGATTGGTGGAGTGCTGCAGAGATGGTTGTCCTTCTGAAAGGTTCTCCCATCTCAACAGAGGAACTCTAGAGCTCTGTCAGAGTGACCATTGGGTTCTTGGTCACCTCCCTGACCAAGGCCACCTCCCCCGATTGCTCAGTTTGGCCGGGCGGCCAGCTCTTGGAAGAGTCTTGGTGGTTCCAAACTTCTTCAATTTCAGAATGATGGAGGACACTGTGTTCTTGGGGACCTTCAATGCTGCAGACATTTTTTGGTACCCTTCCCCAGATCTGTGCCTCGACACAATCCTGTCTCTGCGCTTTACTGACAATTCCTTCGACCTCACGACTTGGTTTTTGCTCTGACATGCACTGTCAACTGTGGGACCTTATATAGACAGGTGTGCCTTTCCAAATCATGTCCAATCAATTGAATTTACCAAAGGTGGACGTATGTAAATGTGATACATTTTTTATTTTTAATACATTTGCAAACATTTCTAAAAACCTGTTTTCGCTTTGTCATGATGGGGTATTGTGTGTAGATTGAGGGAAAAAATTATTTAATCCATTTTAGAATAAGGCTGTAAAGTAACAAAATGTGGAAAATGTGAAGGGGTCTGAATCTGTTTTCTACATTGCCAATGCTTCTATATGTGGGAGACAAATTCCCTTTTGAAGGCAAATAAAGTTGCGTCTATCCATCTACAACTGTGTAGCTGACTGAACTGCAGAGGTAATTGTGCTATAGGCTAGAGTACTACTTGAAGAAGGCATCACTCACGCGAAGTCCTCCCCCAGGGTACAGATGAGGTGGGCTCCGAACACACTCCACAGAGACAGCCCCCCGCACTCCCAGGTCACCATGGCAACACTGTAGTCGGGGGACCAGCGGATCAGCTTTACCGCGCCCGTCTTGTTCCACACGTCTGAGGAGGAGAGGAGAAACGGACATGACAGGTCAGACAGGAATATTTTCTGTAGTAAGGAGGTTTTGTTAAATACCCTTTTAACGCAATCCTGTTGAACCAAACCGTACGGTTCCTGGATATATTCTTCTCACATTGTTTTTTCCGGCCTAACTCCTGTAACATTTCTAGACCAGCACAGTACAGCTACGCTCGGCAGTATGAAACGGGTATGAGAGTCCACCGCTTGATTCACCACTTGTTGACATAGATAGGTTGCAGGGTCTCCAGCTTGACAATTCCCATGATGAAATAGAGCTCAGGGTTATGATATGATAGATACTTGACTCCCGAGTGGCGCAGTGGTCTAAGGCACTGCATCGCAGTGCTAGCTGTGCCACTAGAGATCCTGGTTCGAATCCAGGCTCTGTCGTAGCCGGCCACGACCGGGAGACCCATGGGGCGGCGCACAATTGGCCCAGCGTCGTCCAGGGTAGGGGAGGGAATGGCCGGCAGGGATGTAGCTCAGTTGGTAGAGCATGGTGTTTGCAACGCCAGGGTTGTGGGTTCGAATCCAGTATGAAGAAAAAAAAACTCACTAACTGTAAGTCGCTCTGGATAAGAGCGTCTGCTAAATGACTAAAATGTAAATGTATAGGTCAATAAGATTTCACACTGTACTGTCATTCTATACCATTTACTTCCACTAGGGGGCAGACGCATACCATAACATGTAATCCACTGATTCTGTCTCTACACAGCTTGTGTTGAGGGGAACTAAATACCACCTGCACTTTCCAGTCGAAACCAAAACATGACACTATTTACAATAAAACCAATGTGTGAGACTGGAGAGTAGTTTGTATAAAAGGTAATATACATGAGCAAGTGTCAGGTGGTAGTTAGACAGACATACAAGGGTAGTGTCAGGTGGTAGATAGACAGACATACCGGGGTAGTGTCAGGTGGTAATTAGACAGACATACCGGGGTAGTGTCAGGTGGTAATTAGACAGACATACCAGGGTAGTGTCAGGTGGTAGTTAGACAGACATACCGGGGTAGTGTCAGGTGGTAATTAGACAGACATACCAGGGTAGTGTCAGGTGGTAATTAGACAGACATACCGGGGTAGTGTCAGGTGGTAGTTAGACAGAGGTACCAGGGTAGTGTCAGGTGGTAGTTAGACAGACATACCAGGGTAGTGTCAGGTGGTAATTAGACAGACATACCGGGGTAGTGTCAGGTGGTAATTAGACAGACATACCAGGGTAGTGTCAGGTGGTAGTTAGACAGACATACCGGGGTAGTGTCAGGTGGTAGTTAGACAGAGGTACCAGGGTAGTGTCAGGTGGTAGATAGACAGACATACCGGGGTAGTGTCAGGTGGTAGTTAGACAGACATACCGGGGTAGTGTCAGGTGGTAGTTAGACAGACATACCAGGGTAGTGTCAGGTGGTAATTAGACAGACATACCGGGGTAGTGTCAGGTGGTAGTTAGACAGAGGTACCAGGGTAGTGTCAGGTGGTAGTTAGACAGAGGTACCGGGGTAGTGTCAGGTGGTAATTAGACAGACATACCGGGGTAGTGTCAGGTGGTAGATAGACAGAGGTACCAGGGTAGTGTCAGGTGGTAGATAGACAGAGGTACCGGGGTAGTGTCAGGTGGTAGATAGACAGAGGTACCGGGGTAGTGTCAGGTGGTAATTAGACAGACATACCGGGGTAGTGTCAGGTGGTAGATAGACAGAGGTACCGGGGTAGTGTCAGGTGGTAGATAGACATACCGGGGTAGTGTGTTTAGGGGTTTGTACATACCAGGGTAGTGTTTAGGGGTTTGTACATACCAGGGTAGTGTTTAGGGGTTTGTACATACCAGGGTAGTGTTTAGGGCTGAGCTCCAGCTTGTGGGAGAGCTGCATGGACCCTGTAGTGGTGTCGATACTGTACACCAACACTGAGCCACTGGAACACAGAGAGAAACACGGCCAGTGGATTCAATACATCATTCAATACAATTAGCCTACATTTCCTGAATGAAAAACAACCGCTGAAATAAGGCAACATGAGCATTCAATGAATATGAAAGGTTGGAGATTGAAATCACTGCCATCTACTGTCTGTCACTCAGGTTCTCTCTGTCTCCTGCTGACCTCAGCAGTACAGGACTCTGTAGCCAGGCGTGACCTGCTGACATTATCACCACAGGCCTCCGTAGCCACCACCTATCTGCTTCAGTGGAACGCTAATTACACAATCAAGAGATACAGACTGAAAGAGGGTAGGGAGAGCGAGCGAGAGAGCGAGAGAGAGCGAGAGAGTGAAAGAGAGCGAGAGAGTGAAAGAGAGAGTGAAAGAGAGCGAGAGAGAGTGAAAGAGAGAGTGAAAGAGAGAGTGAAAGAGAGCGAGAGAGAGTGAAAGAGAGAGTGAAAGAGAGCGAGAGAGAGTGAAAGAGAGAGTGAAAGAGAGCGAGAGAGAGTGAAAGAGAGAGTGAAAGAGAGCGAGAGAGTGAAAGAGAGCGAGAGAGTGAAAGAGAGCGAGAGAGTGAAAGAGAGAGTGAAAGAGAGCGAGAGAGAGTGAAAGAGAGCGAGAGAGTGAAAGAGAGAGTGAAAGAGAGCGAGAGAGAGTGAAAGAGCGAGAGAGAGTGAAAGAGAGCGAGAGAGAGTGTGAGTGAAAGAGAGCGAGAGAGTGAAAGAGCGAGAGAGTGAGAGCGAGAGAGAGAGAGAGCGAGTGAAAGAGAGCGAGTGAAAGAGAGCGAGAGCGAGAGAGCATGAAAGAGCGAGAGAGTGAAAGAGAGTGAGAGCGAGAGAGTGAAAGAGCGAGAGAGAGAGAGAGAGAGAGAGAAAGAGCGAGAGAGTGAAAGAGAGAGTGAAAGAGAGCGAGAGAGAGAGAAAGAGAGCGAGAGAGTGAAAGAGAGAGTGAAAGAGAGCGAGAGAGAGTGAAAGAGAGCGAGAGAGAGTGAAAGAGAGCGAGAGAGTGAAAGAGAGAGTGAAAGAGAGCGAGAGAGAGAGAGAAAGAGAGCGAGAGAGTGAAAGAGAGAGTGAAAGAGAGCGAGACATAGTGAAATAGAGAGTGAAAGAGAGCGAGAGAGAGTGAAAGAGAGCGAGAGAGTGAAAGAGAGAGTGAAAGAGAGCGAGAGAGAGTGAAAGAGAGCGAGAGAGAGTGAAAGAGAGAGTGAAAGAGAGCGAGAGAGTGAAAGAGAGAGTGAAAGAGAGAGCAGAGAGGAAAAAGAGAAGCGATAGAGTGAAAAGAGAGAGTGAAAGAGAGTCGAGAGAGAGTGAAAGAGAGAGTGAAAGAGAGCGAGAGAGAGTGAAAGAGCGAGAGAGTGAAAGAGAGATGAAAGAAGCGAGAGAGAGTGAAAGAAGCGAGAGAGTGAAAAGAGAGTGAAGAGAGCGAGAGAGTGAAATAGAGAGTGAAAGAGCGAGAAGTAGAGAGAAAGAGAGCGAGAGAGTGAAAGAGAGAGTGAAAGAGCGAGAGAGAGGAGAGAGCGAGTGAAAGAGAGGGACAGAGTGAAATGAGAGTGAGAGAGAGTGAAAGAGCGAGAGATGAAAGAGAGCGAAGTTGAAAAGGAGCGAGAGTGAAAAGAGCGAGAGAGAGTGAAAGAGCGAGATGAAGAGGGGTGAAAGAAGCGAGAGAGTGAAAGAAAGAGCGAGAAGAGAGTGAAAGAGAGAGCATAAAAAAAGAAAGAGAAAGAGTAGAGGAGAGAGAGGATAGAGAGCGAGAGAGCGAGAGAGAGAGAGAGAGGCGAGAGAGTGAAAGAGCGGAGAGAGTGAGAGAAGAGTGAGAAGAGAGAGGAGGAGAAGATGAGCGAGAGAGAGAGAGAGCATGAAGAGGAAGAGTGAAAGTAGAGCGAGAGAGGAAGAGAGAGCGAGAGGAGAGAGGGGAGAGAGAAGTGAGAGAGGCAGAGAGAGAGAGGTCGAGAGAGTGAAAGGCGAAGAGAGGGAGGAGAGAGAGTGCGAGAAGAGAGTGACAAGAGAGAGAGAGTGAGAGAGAGAAGAGTGCAAGAGAGGTAGAGGATAGAGCGAGAGAAGAGCGAAGAGGAGAGGGAGAGAGTCAGAGAGCAGAGAGAGATTGAAAGAGAGGAGAGCAGAAGAAGAGAGCATGAAAGAGCAAGAGAGAGAGCGAGAGAGTGAAAGAGAAAATAGTTCTGACAGTGCTGCACACAATCTGCACACCAATCACACAAAGATAGACCGGTTCCCAGACACACGTACCTGGCACAGCCAAATGTCATCAGTCTGTACTTATTGTTGACTGCCACACACGTGCCGTCTGTTACATCTGCTGCCCAGACGCCCTGCAGCTGCTGGAGAAGACAAGGCCATTCAGATCACTGCTCTTCCCTCTGACACACACACACACACACACACACACACACACACACACACACACACACACACACCTCTGCCTTCACTTTCAATCTCTTTTTTCCACATACATTATCACACAGTCGTTATGCTTCATTGTTTAACATGATTCACAAAACTCTGCTGCATTGTGTGTGCACTACAGCAAAGCACACACACAAACCTCTCCCACAGTTCTTACGTCTGCGGTGATCCTGTTGGCTACAGGAGTGATGAACCCCAGCCTGCCATCATCCAGCACCACAGCAAAGCCATCCAGAGTCACACAGTACGTCATGTCTCTGATGTACATCCCCTTCAGGTCCAGACACAGACCACCTGCAGAGACGTACACATAAACAAACTCATCAGACAAAACACAACGAGGGGGCTGCATCTAAAACACAACGAGGGGGCTGCATCTAAAACACAACGAGGGGGCTGCATCTAAAACACAACGAGGGGGCTGCATCTAAAACACAACGAGGGGGCTGCATCTAAAACACAACGAGGGGGCCGCATCTAAAACACAACGAGGGGGCCGCATCTAAAACACAACGAGGGGGCTGTATCTAAAACACAACGAGGGGGCTGCATCTAAAACACAACGAGGGGGCTGCATCTAAAACACAACGAGGGGGCTGCATCTAAAACACAACGAGGGGGCCGCATCTAAAACACAACGAGGGGGCCGCATCTAAAACACAACGAGGGGGCTGCATCTAAAACACAATGAGGGGGTTGTATCTAAAACACAACGAGGGGGCTGCATCTAAAACACAACGAGGGGGCCGCATCTAAAACACAACGAGGGGGCTGCATCTAAAACACAACGAGGGGGCTGCATCTAAAACACAACGAGGGGGCTGCATCTAAAACACAACGAGGGGGCTGCATCTAAAACACAACGAGGGGGCTGCATCTAAAACACAACGAGGGGGCCGCATCTAAAACACAACGAGGGGGCTGCATCTAAAACACAACGAGGGGGCTGCATCTAAACACAACGAGGGGGCTGCATCTAAAACACAACGAGGGGGCTGCATCTAAACACAACGAGGGGGCTGCATCTAAACACATGGACAGATGGATGTACAGTGAGTGAAAAAAGTATTTGATCCCCTGCTGATTTTGTACGTTTGCCCACTGACAAAGAAATTATCAGTCTATAATTTTAATGGTAGGTTTATTTGAACAGTGAGAGACAGAATAACAAAAAGATCCAGAAAACCGCATGTCAAAAATGTTATAAATTGATTTGCATTTTAATGAGGGAAATAAGTATTTGACCCCCTCTCAATCAGAAAGATTTCTGGCTCCCAGGTGTCTTTTATACAGGTAACGAGCTGAGATTAGGAGCACACTCTTAAAGGGAGTGCTCCTAATCTCAGCTTGTTACCTGTATAAAAGACAACTGTCCACAGAAGCAATCAATGAATCAGATTCCAAACACTCCACCATGGTCAAGACCAAAGAGCTCTCCAATGATGTCAGGGACAAGATTATAGACCTACACAAGGCTGGAATGGGCTACAAGACCATCGCCAAGCAGCTTGGTGAGAAGGTGACAACAGTTGGTGTGATTATTCACAAATGGAAGAAACACAAAAGAACTGTCAATCTCCCTCGGCCTGGGGCTCCATGCAAGATCTCACGTGGAGTTGCAATGATCATG